TCAGCTGTCAGGTCCCACACCTCCTTCACTCCAAATGTTCTCTCGTTTCAATAAATTCACTCTCGTGAAAATAAAAATCCAACCTTAGGTCAGTGATTCTCACTGTGGGCTCCTAAGATTACTGCCTGTGGGCCACAACAAGTCACTTACAACATTATTATTTCCTCATAAGTCTTTAAAAAAATCTATCAGTAGAAATGTAACATTTTAAAAGTTGTAGGTTTTTACATAACTTCATCTTTCAGAATAAAGTCATACTGAAGATGCACGTCTGGTTTTTACAGGTAAAATGAAATGTTTGGATACAAGAATCGCTTCTAAAATTAATTCAGTTTATCTGTTGAAGGGGAAGAAGCTGGATGAGGCTGGAGATGTTCGGGCTGAGGTCTTTTCTCTGCTCCACTCTGCTTAAAGGCTTTCTAACTCTCCGTGTAATAATAATAATAATAATAATAATCACAGAGCTGTTCTATCCTGATATCAGTGATCGTGATGAGGCCTGCTGTGTGCTGGATTACTTTAAAAAGCGTTAAGCTAATACTTTCACGTTGAAGTGAAGACGTGAAACGTGCGATAGAGTTCCTGCTTTTATTTGTGAGATGAAATGAGAAGCATCAAAGAGAAACTGAAAATAACTCGTGCAGTTTGTAGGGATGAAACGCAGCAACGACTGAAGCACGCAACAACTTCAGAAATGACCTCATCGTGTTCGAGTCTTCCACTTTCACGAACACTGTTTGGGTTTGTTAGCAGCTTCAAGGCGAGCACTGACAGCCTGAACACTGTTCGCCTGTCCACATCCACACGAATAAACACGGGGACCCGCTGCAGTTTCTCTTTAAATGACCTCAAATCTAATCCACACAACTTAAACATGCTCGCTGGGACTTTGTGTTACAGCAAGAAGCCTTTTCAAGAACAAAGGGTCGGTTTTTGCTGCTTTTTTTGGGCTCTGGTTCCGGCTGTTGTCGGCAGCAGCCCAAACTCCTTTCAGAAATGTGTGTTTTTACCACTCCCCCCAGTAAAATCCACACTTCACATCCCTGCGTGTCATACTAAACCTTTCATTTACATCACAGGCAGACATTTTCATGTCCGGCATGCACTTAATCGACTCAGCAGCCCTGAATGATCTGAAATGTCGACTTTTCCAAGAGCCTGGCATCGCTGTTGGCACCGCTCGGCAGGGTGGACCATCCTTGTGAAGAGGCGCGGGGAGGGTTGTAAAAGTAGAAATGTGACTGAGGGAAACACTGTTTGTGGGGTCAAACGTACCCCGGAATAATGGGCAGGTGCTGCTGCCCCGGGGGCAGACCCCCAGCTTTGTTCTCCCGCTTGCTAAATTTCATTCATGAGGGAATCATCTCAAAATGTCATGTTTTTCAAAGGAGATTCGCACGCAGTCCACTTACCTCCGGGATACGATGGGATGCAGCGGGGTCTGCAGCTTTCAGAGACCCCTGCAGCAGCTCGGCGGCACCGCGGCGGACTCCGGGTCACCCGCTCGCTCCATTTCACGGTAACGCTGTCTGTAACGGCGAAGTGCGGGAGTAGTAACTGTAACGGCTAGCTAAGTGAACTAGGTTCCATGGCGGAAGCAGTGAAAGTCCAGCCGGAGGTGAAGAGTCCGCTCGGCTCCTTGTTCTCGCGCTTCCGCCGCCCTTTGCTCGCTTTTTCAGGCGCTTGCTTGACATTAGTTTACGTTCTCCACGGTGACTCCAACTTCCGCATCTTTGGTGACGTAACGGGTCGTTGAGCTACGTCAGACAGGCCCGAGCGGAAGACACGCCTACAACCGATTACGCGTACGCTTAACTTTCAAAATAAAGGCTCGAATAAACTGTGTTTATCCTGCTGCTTTTAGACTTGTGGATGTTTTCTTCTTTGTTCTGTTTAATATGAATCCTAAAATTATTTGTCAGACGTTGGTCTCATGTAAAAACAAGTTTTTGTATACACCTGTCTTTCACCTCTAAAATTACTTCTTTTAATAATAAAATTGTTTCCTAAAAAAACCTGGGACAGGTAGACCTTTGTATGTTAGCATATTCATAACGGAAACCTAGTGTCCTGGGATCCACTGGGATAACGTTCCTGAACCTGTTTCCACGTCACACAGCGCTGCTCAGGTGTCCCAGCAGTGCCTCTATTTCCTCTATTTCACTTTTTTTTATTTCCTCCAGATATGACGTAATGATCTGGTACAGCATATATATATATATATAT